ATTCTGAGGCCAGAGTGCTATTTAAGACATCTGCCATTCTGTGAGTCTGCTGTGTATCCCGCTTCCCATGTTGGATCATTCTCTCCCTTTTTTATTCTATCAGTTAGTATTCGCAGACACTAGTCTTGTTTGTGTGATCCCTTTGGCTCTTAGTCCTAACATTATGATCAATTGTGAACTGAAATCGATCACTTGGTCTAGTGAGATTGCATTGGTACATGCCACCTTGATGGGATTGTATTGGAATCCCTTGGCACGTTTCAAACTCCACCATTTGGGGCAAGCCAGCTTGAGCATGTCCCAAATTGTACATCTCCTCCCTCTCTTATTCCCACTCTTATATTTAACAGGGATCATTTTTCAGTTAAATTTCAACACCTAAGAATAACTATGTGTTAATTACAGAGTTTAACCAATAGTATTAAGTAGAACAAAAAAATACTAAAAGGGATAAAGTATTAAATGTACATCAACAGTCAGGACAAGGGCTGATCAACTCACTGTTTCTCATAGTGTCCATTTCACTTCAACAGGTTTCCCCTTTGGTGCTCAGTTAGTTGTCACTGATCAGGGAGAACATATGATATTTGTCCCTTTGGGACTGGCTTAATTCACTCAGCATGATGTTTTCTAGATTCCTCAATTTTGTTGTAAATGACTGGATTTTATTGTTTTTGACTGCTGTATAGTATTCTATAGAGTAAATGTCCCATAATTTCTTTATCGAAAACTTCTAAATGTTCTTATCATAAATTTTTTGAAATCCGTATCTTGCATTTCTTCTATCTCATCATCTTCATAATCTTGGCTTGGGGTCTCTTGTTCATTTGGGGCATTATAATGTCTTCCTTGCTCTTGTTTCCTCGGTTTCTGCATTTGTTGCTTGGCACTGTGGAGCTATTCTTTCGATTCTTATTCCCTCACTGTGGTGTTTTTTTCTAGTTGTACTATGACTGTATTAAGTGGACTGTCTGCTTTTATGGAGCATTAGAGGCTTGAGATGGGTGTGGCCAGAGAGCTCTGGTTTGTCAGGGTTAAGGGTGTGCCAAAGGTGACACACCCAGGTTAAGCATGGTAAATCTCTCTCTCTCTCTCTTTTTTTGATTCAGAAGGGAAGCAATTCTGCACAACTGAGCGGAATTGAAGGTAGTTAGCTTCCAGTCTCTGGCTCCTGTGGGTATAATATTTGTCTGCTCTTTTCCAACGACCACACAAAGAATCTGTTCTGCCCTCAGTGTGGGCTAAATATCTCCTGCAGTCTCCCACTGGGTTGCCAAGGTTACCAAATTGTAGAGTCTCTGGAGAGTACTCACGTGAATTCTGTGATTCTCTCACCCACCGTCTCTTTTTTTACCATCTCAGTTCATTAGCTCCACACATTCACTAGGTCCTAACCTCCTGTTATTTCACACACACACACACCCATAGTCAGGTTTTTCTGCTTGGCTGAGGGCGGGAGCAGCCCTGAGGTCACACAGCTTTTACGTATGTCCAAAATGGCACCTGCTCTTTGTCTTGCTCGCCTTTGAGGGGCGAGCAGAGAGAGACTCGTGTCTGTAACAGTCCCTTTTTTTTCCCTCTCTCCTCCTGTTAGCCTGGTGAACTTTCCCCAACAGGGCTTCAAGCCTCATTCTCTTTAGGCTCCTCCTTCCACTTTCCCTCCGGTGTCTCGTTGGCTCACCTTGCGTTCCAGCACTGGTGCATAGATTCCGTGGCTGGTGTCCCGAGCCATGGGCTCCCACACCCTCCACACCAGTCCACCAGGATTCACTATTTCCGGAAGAGTTTCCTCTGCTGTTTCTTCCCCAACTCTTCCTTGAACCTGCAGTATCTCCACTTTTATTAAACTGTCTCTTCCCGGACTCAGTGTGCTCCCTTTCTATTCCGCCATCTTGCCGGCAAGTCTTTTGTTTATTTGATTATTGATTTTCAGATCATTTAAATGACAAATGAGAAGTTAAATGATCCTGAAATCCTGCTAGTGATGAAAACACTTGGAAGATGCAAAGACTTCTAGGAAAGAGAAAATTATCCTTTGCTATTCCAGCCTTAAGGCACTTTCAAATATTCTGCCCTAAGGGATTTGAGTCATCCCAGTTCAGGTCCCAAACATATAGGGGGTCAGTTATGAAACACCTTTACTTAACCTCACTCAAGCTATAGATTCATAATCATAATGATTGTGTCTATTTCAGTCTATTGAAGTTTTCTTTTTCAGAGAGGAAGTGCTACAATGTAATGGGTAACTGCAATAACTTCTGTTATTAACTATTTATTAAATGAATTGAAAATCATGAATGTTGTTGAAGTGTTTTTTTGTCCCATATTCCACATGTGATAATATACTTGGAGCCATCATGAGGCCAGATTTTGAAGGAGGTAAAACATGTCCTCCATGCCCCCTATTTGAAATATCCATGCATTTATTCTCCACCACTGGCATGCCCTACCTGCTCTGCAGTTCAATAGAGATCTAGTGTGTCCCACTGACTGCTTCTCACTGCTTTTTCCAAATAAATCCTGTATCTAGGATATACATTCTTAAATGCATATGTTTTACATAATTTGAGTTGTGATTTCTAATATCTTCTTAGTTATTAATAATATCAATTTCTCTTCTTACCACTTCTGTATCAGGTGAGAACTAGATTACTCCTCTTCTACCTCTGTTTATTTTGCACTCACCCATGCCGTTCTCTATACTGCATCCAAGAGCATTTCTGAAGTGTCAATACGAGCATTATTTTCTTTCCAGTCCTCAACTTCAACATCATACATTCCCCATGCATAAGTGTATGTATACGTACACACATACACACATTACTCAGAAAATATCATAAATTATTTAGTTATTTTATATAATGCATAATGAATCTGTTCCTGATTTCTTCTCCAGTTTGTTTCTAATTACAACCCTGAAGTCAACTGGAAGTCTCATCCCGTGAAATTGTCAGAGCTCCTTAAACTTGATGTATGCATGGTCATCCCTTGATCACTGACAAGGTTACTTTCATGGGTTTCTGTGCTCCGTGGAACTCACTGAATCTGTTTGCTTTTCAGCCTTCTAAGTTTTCCCTCAAGCCTCAATGAAAAAAATATTGATAAATATTTCCTGAACACCTCTTAATATTAATCTTATGATCATTCCATTTAATTCTTAGAGGAGCACCATACACCTCTACAATAACCCTGATATCGCTCATTCATAGGCATAAAATATTTAGCAAGGATAGAAACTTATTTACTGCAGTTTGGAATCACAATTCCCTAGACTTCAGAGGCAACAAAATTGGGTAATTACTTTGTGAACCCATATTGAACTATGTATTTAACACAAAATGCAAATTAGATACAAAATAATTTTTATTATATTACTAATACCAATCTCTGTAGTTATTCTTTTTCTTAAATTCAAAATAAACTTTTAAAGGATTATATAAACTTCCAAATTATTTCCCTCTGTGTGAGCCTTGCAAAAACTTTCCAATTTTCCCATGAGCTCACTGCTGTTAATATATCTATAAATTATTATTCTAACTAGATTAGTTGTTTATGCAGTGGTATAACAGTTTCCTTTTAAGGAAAATATAAGAATTATATATACCTGCTAACAAATTAGTAAGATTTTGAATGTTGTAAGCATTCATCAAACCCTCAATGATCACTCAAGAATTCCATCAAATAGTAATCTAATATACACCTCAATAAAATGACTCTTGTCAGGAGCAATAAATTAGGTCATTGTTTACAACTGCTGTCAAATTGTTTCCATTTCTTTTAGCCACTTTATCATCAGAAACAACTTGTTAAAACATTTCAGTACCTGCTGACATAACAAACACTTTTTTATCTGTAGATTCCTAAGTTGTTTAAACTGCTGTGTCTGCTTCATGCCTTTAGATAATGCAACTATAACCATTGGTTTACATCTTAAAACAATAAATGTTACTGTTTTTGAAACAATAATGTTTATTCTAAAAATGATGTTTATATTTCTCAGACTTTTGTGCATGTTTCACATTTAAATATTAAATTTCTGAAAGTATATTAAGCTAAATACATCGATTACATGGAGAAATTTAGAGAAAGAACATGCAAAGTAGGAAGAGGCACTAACTTGAACTTGGGAAAGGTGCATTATGTGAATTTACAACTGTTCTTCAGGAAGGAAATAAGATCTTGACCGAGAATCCTATAAAGATGGAAGAAGAAAGTGCTTAAACTGAAAGTTTCAGGCAGGTTATTCACATAGCTTGAGCAACACTCTTGAGTTTAGTGAATATTTATAAAAACAGGTAATGAGAAATGAAGCTAGAAATGGATAATCTCTTTCTATTTGCTATTCAGCTTTTGTAATGTATATCATTCAGGTAGGAGAGTATATAATTGCTCAAATTACTAAACATCAAACTACAATGAATGAATATTATGCATTTTATTTATCTTAATTATGAACTTTATATCTATTTCTACTAATTAAATTAGAGAGTTCACACTAGTATCTGTATTACTCTTCATACATACCTTCACCAACCATGATGTTGGTCACATAGTAACCTTCAACAAATACATGTTGTATTAACTAATGAGCAGTACAAAACTATCAATCTTGAATCAATTGCACATCAATCAATGGCATGCATATTTTCAATAGTACTGATAGACTAATAATAGGTATTTCAAATTGGACGTGTCCAAACCAATTTTTTGTTGTCGTTGTTGGGCCAAAGTATTATTTTGTTGCTCTTCCCATTCCAATTATCCACAGCTTTATCCTTCTTCAAGCTCTAACTTCAATACACATATTTCTGGATCAAATCCCTTCACACCATTGTCACCACAACAAATTTGGTCCCCGTCTTCATCATCTGTCACTTAGTTTATTGCCACAGCTTCTTGGCTGGCCTTTGCTAACTCACTGTATCACCTACTCGGATTAGAAACTTAGTGGAGCTCAAAAAATCTCCAGTCAAATAGATAACAGCTTTCCTGTCTTCTGAGCTTCTGTTGCCTGCACAAGTCTTCAGTGCAGCTGGTGACTTTCTGGTGCGCTAGAAGAATGAATGATAAGTCAAGTATCTGCTAAGCAAGGGAGAAAGGAAAGGGGTAGGATTTTTTGTAATTCAATGTATTTCAATGTGATTAAACTGTGATTAAACTACAATGAAAAATTGTACTCTGTTAACTTGGATATCCTTTCTCTTTCTGCTCAATCTGCCTCCTACCACTCTTCCTTTTCCACTCTGCTAGAATCATGCTGGATTGTGCATCATTGCTTAACGATGCCAAGCTGATTTGCAATACAAGTCTTGGAACTTACTGTTTCCTTCAGCCTGAAGACATTCTTCTTGTAATTATTTACCTGGCTCATTCTCTCATTTCTCATAGGAATTGATTTCCATATTGCATTCTTAGGGAGATCTTCCCTATTTGTTTCACCTCTTTCTAGCATTCTTTGTCATTCTTTATGGTTTTCTTTATTTTTATTTTTTGTACAGCACTTCTTCCTTGTAGCATAATATCGAAATAAAAATATGAGATGGAGATAAAGATAGTTCGCGTTTTAATGTTTGTCTCACCTGACAGAAAGAAAACTACATGAGGATAGGAATTTTTGTTGATAATGTTCACGACTACTCACAGAACAGAAAAACACTGACATATAAGTACTCAATAATTGTCTATAAGATGAATGAATGAACGAATGAATGTCACGACAGTGTAATTGTTGTCACACATTCCATATTCCATTATTACATGCTTGTGTAAGGTAGGGATGACTTTTGTTTTACCAAAAAAAAAAAAAAAAACAAAGCTTCAGCAAGATCAATACCACTCCAAGGGATGCACTCTTGTACAACAGACTGCCCAACAAATCTTTTTTTTTTTTCCTCTCCTCCTTCCTAACTGCTCTTTGCTTCTCCTCCTTCCTACCCTTTCATCTAATGAAATTCCTGGTTGAATTCTTTCCAATGCAAGGGTCACAAAATTAATCAAACATCTTTTTCCAAATAACAGATGCCATCTACTCCTGGAACTTCATTGCATGCCTGTGCAATTGTTTCCCTGTACAGATTACTTAAATGTTTACCGTGAATTATCAAAAAACATCTTCTTTATGAAAAATTTTTACTTTTAAATATGTCAGAATTTCTAGCCTATAAAAGTACTGTGTGTTTTTTGTTTGTTGTTGTTGAGGTTTGCTTTGTTTTGTTCCTTTTTTTTTTTTTTTGAAGGTGAAAGAAAAAAACACAATGTGCAGGGTCCATTGCTGTGTCACAGTAGGTTAACCACTTCCTGCGATGCTGACATCCAATATGGGCACTGGTTTGAGTCCCGGATGCTCCACTTCTGATCTAGTTCTCTGCTAATAAATTTGAGAAACCAGGAGAATATGGCAAAGTGCTTGGGACCTTGCACTCATTGGGATGCCACAATGAAACTCCTGGCTCTGAAAGTTTGCCCAGAGCCGGCTGATGTGCCCATTTGGGGACTGAACAAGTAGATAGAAGATCTTTCTCTCTCTCTCACTCTCTCTCTGTCTCTCTTTCAAATAAATAAATAAATCATTATGGACAGTCAAAAAATCTTATTTGTTAGCTAAGTAATTTCTGTCACACACAGTTTCCATGTTTTGTCTAATTATAGCAATAAGTAAATAAATATGAAAAGAGTCAGTTAAATATATATTTATTATTTTTTAAGAAATAATAGACAAAATTGTGTATATTTATGGGCTATTGGGTGATATTTTCTTTCCTACGTGTGTATATTGTATAATATCCAGTAAAGGTAAATATATTATTCATTCAATCATTTACTATTTCCTTATAATGAAAGCATCCAAAATATTTTCTAGGATATTTTGTACATTATCATTATCTATAGTTATACTACTGTGCAATAGAGCCCCAGAACTTCTTATTCATATCTAGATATATTCTTATACCTGTCAATCAACTTTCTTCCAATACTCCCTCCTCCCTTTCCTCCCCAGCCTTGGTAACCAGCATCACAATTTTTTAACTTATGAGATCATTCACTTTTGTAGACTCCACATAAGGAGTGAGAGCATGTGATATTTATCTTTCAGTTCTTTGCTTATATCACTTAACATATTTACCTCCAGCTCCATCCATGCTGTTTACAATGGCAAGATTTCTCCTCTCTTATTGACTCAGTAATGTTTTGGTGTGTATATGTACCACATTGTCTTTGCTTACTCATCAGTGAATGGACCCACAGGTTGTCTCTATTCCCTGACTATAGTGAATAATGCTGCAATAATCATAGGAGTACAGATAGATCTTGTACAAATGGATTTCATTTTCCTTGAGATACCCACACGGGAGGCAGATTGCTGGATCACACAGGAGTTCTATTTTTAGAACCTACATACTGTTTTCATAATGGCTGTAGTGATTTAAATCACCATGAACAATCATGCAAGTGGTCCCTTTTCTACACAACCTCACCAGTACTTGTTATCTTTTGCTTTTTTATTAATAAAAAATTTTACTGAAATAATGGCCGGCGCCGCGGCTCACTAGGCTAATCCTCCGCCTAGCGGCGCCGGCACACCGGGTTCTAGTCCCGGTCGGGGCGCCGGATTCTGTCCCGGTTGCCCCTCTTCCAGGCCAGCTCTCTGCTGTGGCCCGAGAGTGCAGTGGAGGATGGCCCAGGTGCTTGGGCCCTGCACCCCATGGGAGACCAGGAAAAGCACCTGGCTCCTGGCTCCTGCCATCGGATCAGCGCGGTGCGCCGGTCGCATCGCGCTGGCCGCGGCGGCCATTGGAGGGTGAACCAACGGCAAAGGAAGACCTTTCTCTTTGTCTCTCTCTCTCTCACTGTCCACCCTGCCTGTCAAAAAATAAAAATAAAAAAAAAATTTTACTGAAATAAGGTTATACCTCATTAAGGTTTATATTTGTATTTCCCTGATGATTAGATACATTGAGTGGTTTTTCATATTCTTATTTCTTCTTGTATGTTTTACCTTAATAAAAATGACTGCTTACATCTGCTGCCTTTTTTTTAAAAAAAGATTTATTTATGTACTTGAGAAGCAGAGTTACAGACTGAGAGAGGGAGAGACAGAGAGACAGGTCTTCCATCTGCTGGGTCATGCTCCAAATGACCAGGCAGGCCAGTGGAAGCCAGGAGCCTGGAGCTTATTCTGGGTCTCCCAAGCAGGTGCAGGGACCCAAGCACTTGGGCCATCTTTCAATACTTTCCCAGGCCATCAGCAGGTAGCTAGACAGGAAGTGGAGCAGCTGGGACTCAAACCAGTGCCCATATAGGACACTGGTGCTGCAGGAGGATGCTTAACCCACCCTACCACACCACTAGTTCATTTTTAATTGGATTTTTCTTTCTTCATTCTTTTTTTCTGGTTTTGGTCTGAGTTCCTGTACTATTCTAGATATTAACACCTTGACAGATCCATATCTTACAAATAAATTCCCCATTCTGCAAGTTGTCTCTTAACTCTGTTGATTATTCCACTTGATATTCAAAAGCTTGCTAGTTTGGTGAAATCCCATGCATCTATGTTTGCTTTTATTTACCATATTTTTGGGATCTGATTTAGAAAATGGTTGTACATTCCAATGTCCTGAAGTGTTTTCCCTACGTTTTCTCCTAGTAGTGTCAAAGTTCCACGTCTCCCATGTTGAGTTGATTTTTATGCATAATGAACTATAGGGATATAGTTTCATTCTTCTGGATATAGATATCCAGTTGTCCCAGCACCATTCATTAAAAAAAATATTTTTTCCAGTTCATGATCTTAGCACATTTGTCAAAGATAAGTTGACTGTAGATTTGTGGTTTTACTTTTAGAGTCTCACTTCTGTTCCTTTCAACTATAGATCTGCCCTTTATGCTAATACTATACTGTCTTAATTACTGGAGCTTTGCAATATATTATATAGTTCTGCTGTATAATTTCTCCGGTTTTGTTATTTTTGTTTAAGATTGCTTTTGTAACTCATCCAAGTTTTTGTAGTTTGTTCCATCCAAGTTTTTGTAGTTTTTTTTTTTTTTTTTTTTTTTTTTTTTTTTTTTTTTTTAGTTTTGTGAAAAGTGGCATTGGAATTTCAGTAGCCATTGTGTTGAATCTGTACAGTGCTTTGAGTAGTATGCCTTTCTGAATGATATTGATCCTTTCACTCAATGAACATGGATGTGTCTTTACATTCCTTTATGTCATCTTCAGTTTCTTTCATGGTTTATAGTGCTTATTATAGAGGTCTTTTCACCTCTTTGGTTAAATTTACTTCTAGGTATTTTATTTTTGTACCTATTTTTTTTAAACTTTTATTTAATGAATATAAATTTCCAAAGTACAGCTTATGGATTACAATGGCTTCCCCCCATAACCTCCCTCCCACTCGCAACCCTCCCCTTTCCCACTCCCTCTCCCCTTCCATTTACATCAAGATTCATTTTCGATTCTCTTTATGTACAGAAGATCAGTTTAGCATACATTAAGTAAAGATTTCAACAGTTTGCTCCCACACAGAAACATAAAGTGAAAAATACTGTTTGAGTACTAGTTATAGCATTAAATCTCAATGTAAGCACACTAAGGACAAAGATCCTACACGAGGAGTAAGTGCACAGTGACTCCTGTTGTTGACTTAACCAATTGACACTCTTGTTTATGGCATCAGTAATCACCCTAGGCTCTTGTCATGAGCTGCCAAGGCTATGGAAGCCCCCTGAGTTCACTGACTCTGATAATTTTTAGATAAGGCCATGGTCAAAGTGGAAGTTCTCGCCTCCCTTCAGAGAAAGGTACCTCCTTCTTTGATGACCCGTTCTTATTTTTGTACCTATTGCAATTCATATTGCATTCTTAGTTAGTTTGCAAGTAATTCACTACTGGTATAGAACAATGCTACTGATTTTTGTACATTGAGTTTATATTCTGCAACTTTGCTGAATTTGTTTATTAGTTCTAACAGCTTTTATGTGGCGTCTTTGGATTTTTCTCTATATATAAGAATATGTCATCTGCAAACAGGTAATTTTACTCTCTGCTTTCCAATTTGGATGACCTTTTCTCTTGTCTAATTACTCTAGCTAAGACTTTTAGTACTGAA